CCCCAAAACCCCAAAACCCCAAAACCCCAAAACCCCAAAACCCCAAAACCCCAAAACCCCGCTATGGGATCGGTTAATTGACCTCTATATAAATCTAGAGAAGTTTAATGATTAATAATAATATGGCAGAAAACATCATGTTTTGAACAGATTTAGGAGACAACGAATTAGCAGATCTGTATGAAGGGAATGTCTTTGCAAGAGACACTTTTAACATTTCAAGCCAGGTATGTAGGAAGATAAGGGATTCATGGTCTTGTTGATATTTCTGATAATTTCAGTTGCCCGATGATTTGTAAATGCAGATTTCTTTCATTTTATATAATTTACTCGGATTAGAAAATTTATTCATAATTTCTGCAATGAAAGCTGGTCTTTAATCGATTTTATAGGAATTAAACCAAGATAAAGTCGATTTGAATTTATTAGAGAAGAATGGATTTGATAAATAATATTGATTCTTTCAGCCCATCTTACGATTTTGGCTTATCTCCAACTTGAAATTTTGAAAAAGTTGAAAATAACGATGAAAAAGAATGAGAAAAGATATTTCAAATAACTAATGAGAAAAAGGATACTTGGCAAAAGAAGGAGACAACACTTGGAGATCAAGATATTAGTATTTCTCTTAAGAATCATCCTCTGCTAAACAGCGCATTGGAGCAAGAAAATTTACAAAAAATTGCTTCTTTAAGAACACTGACATCTAATCTCTCTGAGCAAAACCAAAGGATGAAAGACCTTATCAAGAAATCATCTCTTCAACAATTCAGAAAATTCTATGAAGAAACTTTCAGAATACAAAATATTGATATCATTAAGAGAAGATATGCTAGCTGAAGTTTCACTAAAATTTTCCAGCAGATGCGCTTGATCTTACAAGAGATGATATCTGCTGAATATCTTACAGATGAGCTAGTTCTTTATACTATTGGAATCACTCGTTTACAAAAATTATATCGGCTGTTGTGTAGCGTGGATTTAAAGCAAGAAATCACAGATTTCATTAACCTTGCATCAAAATTTTCAGAAAGAAGGTTTCAAAAATGTCTTGAGTCCCAAAGTTTTCAAACTTTGCTTGATTATTTCTTAATGAACTCAGTAGACCCAGAAATAAGAGCCATGCAGCTTGGAGTTAAGTTAGATTAAGGAAGATATAAGAGGAAACTAAAAGCCGCTCTTTTGGATCGAGATCGAAGGCTCTCATCTTTAATAAATTTTATCTAAAAATTACTGTAAACTTCTAGTTTTACCTTGGTTCTCTAAATCACTGATTATGATTATTCACTAGGGAGGATTTGAACTATAGCAATCATTGATGATGTAATATGCACAGAATATTTTGATAATCTATGCTCTACAAGAAAATTCTTATAAGTAAGCCTCTCTATCTGAACTGTGTCTTATAGCTTATCTCCATCAAATACTTTGGAAATAGTTCAAATCTTATTAAAATTTTAAATTAAGATATGCTCTTTTTTAGATAAACCGATCTCTTAGGGGTTGAAATAGCTAAATATTAGTCTGATTCAAACTCTTTGAGGATACTCAAAGACAAGTGAGAATGAATAATCTTTTTTAGATAAAAGAGAATCACAAAATGTCGACACTTTAATACTATTAGCAAGGTTTCAAATAACTGTTATATTCTGAAAACTTCATCGATCCCTATTTTCCATACTACAAATATTTTCAATAGATATATGAATCACACAAAGCAGGATTACTTATAATATGCAAGTAGTTTAGATGCATAGCATCATCTTTCATTCTTTCCTGCTGTTTTTAATAATAATATTTTTGAACAATTTATGCCAACTTAAAGGACTAGATGCTTAGAGACTCTCAACGAAGCCTATGTGCTTATCTACCAAGAATAGTTTATTAAATCAGAGTACATTAAGCTCTTAATTCATTAAAATTTGCATGAGGCAACCATTAAAATGTTTTTTGCTAAAGATGACATGGCAATAATGAAACTTTAATAATATCAAATTCGATATAATACCAGAATTATATTATTTTATGAGCCCTACTTGTTAATAGCTCCGCATTATTTCAGGATTCCAATACAATTTATTCTCTTTAAAACATTCATAAAACCATGCATAATCATAATCAAAAACAAATAATTCACAAAAGCCTCTCAATTTCTAAGGTCAGTCTCCAAAAAAAGTAACAAACCTTCAATAACAAAATAACTATTCCACCCCAAAATAAATCTCCAATGCTTAATCAAAAATCCCTTCCAAAAAATCCCAAAAAAACACTAAAACTCCAAAAATTAACTTTTCAATCTAAACCCCTACACCCGGGGTTTTGGGGTTTTGGGGTTTTGGGG